AGGCAAGGGCCGCCTTGTTGTCTCCGTACAGAACTGGAGGAGAACTAGGCCGCTCTCCCAAGTCAGTCAGCAGGTAGGTGAGCCAACGTAACTCCTGTGCAGCCATGGCCGTGGCGTAGATCTCAGCCTCACAACTAGAGCTGAGAACAGAAGAAGAGCGGGTGGACCGCCAAGAGACAGAACCAGAGCCAAGGCTGAAAGTGTAACCCTGTGACGACTGCTGCGTAGCCAGGTCGTCCACCCAAGAAGCGTCTGAGTGACCAGTGAGGGCAACTCTGTCGCGTCCTCCAAGCACCAGCCCCATGCCTGATGTACTGCACAAGTAGCGCAGCACCCTCTTAGCAGCCTCCCAGTGCTCTCGCCTGTGTCTCCCAGGTGCAACGTAACGAGCAAGGATGCTAAGAGGGTACGCGAGGTCAGGTCGCGTGCAAGTCATCAAGTACATGAGGCAGCCTACAAGCTCTGGGTACGGGCCACTCGGCTCTACGGACTCGTCCGAAGGTGGAGCTGAGAGCGAGTGACTGGTAGCCAGAGGTGTGGCCTGTGGTGAGGAGAACTGGAAGCCGAAGCGCTGAAGGACCTGCTGCACCATGTGTGACTGAGTCAGGGTAATGGTGCAGCGTGCTCTGTCCCGGGTGATCTGCAAGCCAAGGTAGCTGCGCAGCTCACCCAGGTCAGTGCAGGTGTGTCTCTTCTGCAGCTCCGACTTCACACGAGCGAGTGCCTCAGTGTCAGCAGTAGCAAAGACCAAGTCGTCGACGTACACGAGGATGTAAAACGGCGGCAGCGACGTGTCTGTGCGCAGGAACAGTGACGGGTCAGCAGTGGAAGGAGCAAACCCAAGGGCCGCAAGTGTAGTCCTCAGTGTGTCATGCCACTCACGCGGTGCCTGGCGGAGACCGTAGACTGGCCGCCGAAGGCTCCACTGGGTACCAGGAGGGAACGACCCAGTGAAGCCAGGAGGGCGGCGCAGCCAGATCTCCTCGTGGAGGCTGCCCTGCAAGAAAGCTGTGCTGAAGTCAAGAGAGTGCAGCTCGTAGTCACGCTGAGCAGCAACGTGCAGCAACACCCGAAGAGTGGTCATCTTCGGGGTGGGGGAGAAGGTCTGAAAGAAGTCAACTCCCTGTCGCTGACTGAAACCTCTAGCAACGTAACGAGCCTTGAAGACAGGCGGAGAACCCGGCGGCCGCTTCACCCTGAAAATCCACATGCCATCGACGATGTTCGCCCCTGGAGGGGGAACCTCGTCGACGTAGGTGCCTGTGGACTTCCAGGATGCCATCTATGCGTCCATGGCTGTCTGCCACTGAGAGGAGTAGGGACCCGAGATCGCCTCTGCGTAAGTGCGCGGAGTGGGGATGTCTAGTGCATCCGGGTCTCCCTCAGGGGCAAGCAGCCAGGCCACGAGATGAGGTACAGCAGCCGCAAGAGAGTCAAAGTCCTCCTGCCTGTCCTCAAGGACGTCCGTGCCAAGAGCACACTCACCCCCGACGGACGGAGGACAGACAGACTCAGACTCAGCAACAAGACTGGCAGTGTAGTCTAGACGACAGACAGCAGCAAAGTCAACAAGCTCAGTGACCAGGGCAGACGCAGCAGCCGACTCAAAAGACGGGTCAGTGACAGCAGTGGCTAACAGACGCGTGACGGTAGGGTGCTCAGCACGAAAACGGTCAGACGCAGGGTCCGGAACGTCAGGCAAAGAAGACGCAGGAGGAGACGGCAGAGGAACCGACTGTGGTACAGAGGAGGGACGACGGACGACAAGGCGAGAACCAGCAACAGGCGGCGAACGCTGGTGCGAGACGCGGCGAGCGGAACGACCAGAACGAACAGGCGAGACAGGACGCGACGCAGGCTCACGACGCTCAGTAAGACCCCCTGACTGCTCAGCGTAAAGAGAAGGAGCAGGCAAGGGCGAGCCAGGCAGTAACGGAAGACCAGTAGAAGACGGAAGACTAAGAACCTGGCGAAGGACAGAGTCAGACGGCGGCAGAGACGACGGCGACGGCGGAGCGAAGAACAGGCGCGACTGTACAGTACCGCCAGCACCAGCAGCTCCAGCACCTCCAGCGACACCACCACCCCCAGTGTCAGCTCCTCCAGGACTGTCCCCACTAGCAGCAGCACCCCCAGAACCAGCACCTCCAGTCCCAGGGTCTCCAGTCGCTGCGTCCCCAGCGGTAGCACCCTCAGACACAGCACCACCAGCCCCAGCAGCTCGAGTACCAGCGGTACGAGCACCTCCGGGACCAGCGACGGGAGTACCTCCAGGAGACAACGAACCAGCACCACTCTCAGCTCCAGGGGCGGCAGTAGAGGCACCACCAGCAGTAGAGCCCGGAGCTCCAGGAGGGCGACGCTGACGGCGACCGAACCAGTCGTGCAGCTGCTGGGAGGTGAGAGGAACACGCGAACGAAGGCGGCCAGTCCAGGGCGCAGCCTCCACTGGCGACGCACCCCCAGACTCAGCACCCCCAGACGCAGCACACCCAGACCCCTCAAGCACAGGCTCAGCTCCCGCAGATGGAGCACCGCGACAACGAGCAGCTCCAGCTCCTCCAGTACCTCCAGCTCCAGTGTCTCCAGCTCCAGTGGCACCAGGCTCAGGACCTCCAGAACAACCAGCTCCGGCAGCCGCAGTACCTCCAGGACTAGCACCCCCTGAGCCAGCAGCTGCAGCACCGCCAGAACCTCCAGCACCAGTGTCCCCAGTCTCAGCGCCTCCAGCTCCAGCTGCACCACGCGGAAGGCGAAAGCGCCGGACGTACCACTCACGGAGCTGCCGCTGTGTGAGAGGCTCCCGGAGAGGCGACTCAACACCCTGAGCACCCCCAGACGCAGCAACTCGAGGCAAAGCACCCCCAGGCCCCGCACCCATGGTCCCAGCACCCCTAGGCTCCGCACCCTCAGGCTCAGCACCCCCAGGCTCTGCACCCCCAGGCTCAGCACCCCCAGGCTCAGCAACCCTAGTAGCACCACCCGCAGCAGCACCTGAGTCACCTGTGACCTCGACAGGCTCAGCGACAGGAGGAGGGTCTACCTGAGAGACACCTGAAGGAGCAGGACCCTGAGGGGGAAGGGGGTCGACCGGAGGGGGACCTGGAGCGAGGAAAAGCGGCGGGGGAGGGAGGGGGGCAGTGCGGTAGGGGAAGAGACGGTAAAAAGGAACCGACTCGTCAAACGTGACGTCCTGAGAGGCGAAGACCCGGCGCGAGGTGGGGTGGTAAAACTGCCAGCCTGGCGCGTCAGGGACAAAGCCAAGGAAGACACAAGGAAGTGTGCGGGAGGAGAGCTTGTCCGCGGAAGTATCGCGGACAAGGGCACGAGAACCCCACACCCGGAAGCGCGACGCATCGCCGACCTCCCCCGTCCAACGCAGTGTGGGCGAGGTCTCCGGCAAGGAGACACGGGGCCAGAGGTTGAGCTGATGCGCAGCGTACCGGACAGCAAACGGCCACAGAAAATGGGGAGCCGCCGCATGAACCAAGGAGGTACGAGCGACCTCCATGACCAGGCCAATGCGGCGCTCTGCAACCCCATTCTGCTGCGGGGAGCCCGGAAGCGTGAAGGACTGCTCGATGCCCTCCGCCTGACAGAAGGCCCTCAAGAGGTCAGAGGAGAACTCACCACCTCTGTCAGAGTGCAGACGCAGGATAGGAAGCTCTGTCCTAAACCGGCGGCGGAGCTGGAGACGAACTGTGCGGATCCAAGGGATCAGAATAGCAGGGACCTCACCCTTGGTGCGCAAGGGGAAGACCGTGGTGTAATGCGAGTAGTCGTCGACAACCAGCAGAAAGTACCGCTCACCGCCCTGTCCACGGACGCGGGCTGGGCCCCACACGTTCAGGTGGAGGGTCTGCAGAGGAGCCTCGGTCGGGGGAAACGAGGAGGAGTGAGGAGCGGCGCGCTGCCGCCCCTCGACGCAAGGAAGGCAAGGCGGCGCAGGCGAGGCAGGGAGGGGAGGGAGAGACCGTGAAGACCGGACACAAGGTGACGACGGTGCATGCCACGAAGGCGCGGCAAGGAGGGGTGACCCAGGCGGTGGTGCCAGAGAAGGGTCTGGTGCGACAGGGAGCGACACTCACAGGGGTGGGCTACTAGACCTGACGCAGACACCTGACCAACAGCAGCGACCTGAGGAGACACAGTGGTCAGTGTGTAGAGACTCGACCCCGGCTGACGAGTGAACGTAGCCAGGTGACGGCCAGTCCTGGAGCACGTGAGGATCGCCACACGCTGTCCTCCAGGGGTGAAGGTGTCAACCCAGTGATCCTGGATAACAGCGTTGCTCACCAAGTTCATAGAGAACGAGGGGAGGTGGAAACCCGACAACGAGCCAGACGGAACCGCCGGAAAGGGAAGCACAGTGGTAGACCGTGCAAGAACTGGACCCCCAGAGGGGTCAGCCAGGGAGACTGGAACTGGTGCAGGGAGGGGAGTGAGCTCAGTACTGTCACGAAAGAAGCAGCGGGAAGCACTTGAGTCAAGCGTGAAGGTGTGCAAGGCCTCAGCGGGCGCAGTACCGGAGAGCGCAGACTCGCTAGCAGGAGGGGGTGTACCGAAGGGAGTAGCCTCGGAAGGCACAGTACCTGAGAGAGCAGACTCGCTGGTACCTAGGGCAGTGGGCTCTATACCTGGGTCAGGCGGCACACACAAGTAACAGTCCCCCTCAGCACTAACAGTCAATGCATACATGGCAGCAATAATAGCATCATAATCAAGAGCAAAGATATCAACACCAGCCCTCATCAGATCAGCCCAGCGGGGGCGCTCAACCTCCTCGCCCATCTCCTCACGCCAAGCGTCGTCAAGGCGGGAGAAGCAGCGGTACTGGCTTTGGAACCTCCCACACTTCTGCCCCTTGCGTTCACCTGTGCGAATGACATAGGAACAGCGACCACTGCCTCCCGACGTCCCACGCTGAGCAAGCCACTCACGGAGCTGCTGGGTCGTCTGAGGACGCTGCTGCTGCTGAGAGGTCTGGCCCGAGCTGGGGCCTACACTCCGACCACCACCGCCGCCACTACCGCCGCTCCGACCGCCACCGCCGCCGCCGCCACCGCCACCACTGCCACCGCCGCTGCCACCGCCGCCACCGCTGCCACCACTCCCGCCGCCGCCCCTCCCCCCACTGCTGCCTCCACTCCCATCAGCACTCCCGCCACCGCTCCCTCTGGCACCGCCTCCTCCCCCACCTCCCCCACCACCTCCCCCCCCAGCGCCACCCCCGCCACCCTTGCCCCCCTTGCCCTTGCCGGTGCGGCGCCTCCCACCAGGAGCAGAAGCAGCGCCAGCAGACTCAGCACCAAGGAGGTCAACAGCAGCAGCAGTAGCGTAGGAGGGAGCGAGGGGAGAGGGAGAACACCCCTCAAAGATGGGGGTGCGAGGAGCGCCACGAGCAGCACCTACAGCTACAATGCTCTTCTCGGCTGCTAGCAGCTTCTCCTCTAGGAGGGCGACTGTGAGCTCAGTGGGACAGCGGGCAAGGAAGTAGTCTCGGACTGAGCTGAGGGTGTCAGGGAGACGGGTGACTATGAAATGGAGCGTCCAGTGCAGCGGAGGGGGGTTCTTAGCGCAGAACTCGGTGGGAAGGGCGGCACGCAGGCGAGCGTCACTAGTGCGAAGGTGGGTGATGAGATCGGCGACTGTAGCAAAGGTGGACAGCTCAGGGAACAGGTAAGGCAGCATGAGGCGGCTAAGCTCGGCTGTGGCAGGTGAGGAGTAGCGAGCAACGACAGCGTCATATAGGGCCTTAGCGGTTTTGCAGTCGCCAAAGTGCTCTAGCTCAGCGAACGGCAGGTGACTGCGAATAGCCAGGCGAGCTGCAGCGTCACGAGTCTGCCACTGGGAACGTACACTAAGCTCGGCTGTGGCAGCAGGAGCAGCGGCAGCACCAGACGCGTAGTCATAGAGGGAGACGTGGTCCGTGCTATTGCTCATAAGATACAACTGCAGGTCGTCGAGCCAGGAAGTGAACTGCACGGGACGGCCCTCAGCATCGAAGGAAAGAACGCGAATAGAGGCCATAGCTCAGGCGTGAGGGCACAGCAGAGCAGCGGCAGCAGCAGAGGGGACGCGCTAGAGCGAAGCTAGCAGCCGCAGCAGGAGCAAGCGGCGGTGCACGGGCAGGGAGCAGCAGGCGAGGCGGGCGGCGCACGCGGGTGCGTGGGGCCGCGGGGCTGTGCGCGTAGGGGAGAAGGGGCGGCCGCGGCAGAAGCAGGGCTGGCGGCGGGCGGGTAGGGCTACGGGCGGGCAGCCGGGTGGGCAGCGCGGCGGGCAGCGCGGCGGGCAGCGCGACGGGCGGGCGACGCGGCAGGCAGCGCGACGGCGGGCAGCGCGGCGGGCAGTGCGACGGGCGGGCAGCGCGGCGGGCAGCGCGGCGGGCAGCGCGGCGGGCAGCGCGACGGGCGGGCAGCGCGGCGAGCGGGCAGCGCAGCGGGCTGCGCGACTGGCGGGCGACGCGGCAGGCAGCGCGACGGCGGGCAGCGCGGCGGGCAGCGCGACGGGCGGGCAGCGCGGCGAGCGGGCAGCGCGAAGGGCGGGCAGCTAGGGCGCACGAGGGCGCTAACGAGGGGCGCACGAGGGCGCTAACTGGGGCGCGTGAGGGCGCTAACGAGGGGCGCGCGAGGGCGCAGCGAGGGCGCGCGAGGGCGCTAACGAGGGCGCGCGAGGGCGCTAACGAGGGCGCACGAGGGCGCAGCTAGGGCGCAACGAGGGCGCATCGAGGGTAGGGCGCGGGGTAGCGTGGTAACCGCATGCGTGCGACGGTGGGCCCTAAAAAAAAGATTGGTAGGTCCTGCGGACCTCCTGCTCTGAAACCATGTCAAGATTCTAGGCAAGAATGATGGAATTGAAAGGAGAACAAGAGTACAAGTACCTAACCCTAATGGGGTTGTACCCTATATTGTCTACCCCACTACAGCCTACCAACACATTATAATTTAACACAAGAAACTGAGAGAAACGGTGCACAAATGAGAGATGGGTACCCCCTGTCTGAACCCGGAGAGGAGGGTATCGTGGCACGAACATGATGCGCTGGCAGGTCATTCCACCGCCTTCTCGATGGTTCGGGTGAAATGAAGTTGCCTGCCACCGCATGATAGCCTGATTGGGCCGCATGGCAACTTTCACGTCAGCGCTGGCAGATTCTGTCAGAATGAAGAATGGATGATGCATTGATGTTGGTTGGGGTACATATAGCTAACCCTAAGTTTTGTACCCCCTAAGACAAACCTCACTATAGGCTACAACATTTGACACACCCCCATAGCCTAAGTGAGGGGTGTCTAGCAGAACCAAACGAGTACGGTCACAAGACCAGTCCAAGAAACGAAGCTCAGGGTGGATCACAACGTCACCACACAGTCTGAGCACAAACAACAGTGGCCACAAGGCCAGTCCAAGAAGTAACAGAGATATATAGAAAGCAAAGTAAACAGTACACTCAAGTCTAAGCAACACGAGAACCAGTGTCAACAAGGCCTAACTGCACACAGCACCTGTGGTGGTCACAAGGCGGAAGCGCCTTGGTGAAGATGTCTACAGTGTTGGCCTCGGACTCCACAAACTCAAAGCGAGCCTGTCCACGCCTCTGCAACTCTCGCAGAAGAAAGTACCTGACGTGAATGTGCTTCACTCTGCTCTCCAGTCGTGGCTCTCGACAAAGGAGAATAGACGCCTTGTTGTCAGTGAACAAGGTCGGTGCAGAGCTCGGCCGCTCACCAAGGTCGGTGAGCAAGAACGTCAACCAACGCAGCTCCTGTGCCGCCATGGCACCAGCGTAGATCTCAGCCTCAGCTGTAGAGGTCGAGACCGAAGAGGAGCGCGTGGACCGCCAGGAAACAGCTCCAGAACCCAGGCTGAAACAGTACCCCTGAGTAGACCTGTGAGTCTCAGCGTCGTCAGCGTAAGAGGAGTCACAGTGACCAGTAAGTACGACAGACTGCTGCCCTCCAAGAACTAGCCCCACGCCTGATGTCGTCGCTAGGTACTTCGCCACCCTCACAGCTGCTGTCCAGTGAACAGGACGGTGTCTCCCTGGCGCAACAAAGCGCGCAAGAACGCTGAGAGGGAAGGCGAGGTCCGGGCGAGTACAAGTCATCAGGTACATGAGGCAACCCACAAGCTCTGCGTAGGGACCACTAGGCTCAAACGGCTCGTCAGGAAAGGGTCCAGTGAGTCTGTGGTCAACAGCAAGAGGTGTGCGCTGTACTGTGGAGTGCTGAAGCCCGAACCGCTGAAGGACCTGCTGCACCATGTGTGACTGTGAAAGTGTAATGGTGCGAGCAGCTCTGTCCCTGGTGATCTGCAGGCCAAGGTAGTGGCGCAGCTCACCAAGATCAGTGCAGGTGTGTCTCTTCTGCAGTTCGGACTTCACGTGTGCCAAAGCAACCCTGTCAGGGGTGGCGAAAACAAGGTCGTCAACGTAGACCAGAACAAAGAAAGGTGTGGGGCCACGACGAACGAACAGCGACGGGTCAGCAGAAGACGGCTGGAACCCAAGGTCAGACAGGGTAGAACGCAGGGTGTCGTGCCACTCACGAGGAGCCTGACGAAGACCGTAAACCGGTCGCCTCAGCCTCCACTGGGTCCCAGGAGGGAAAGAGCCAGTGAAGGCAGAGGGACGACGCAGCCAGACCTCCTCGTGAAGACTGCCCTGAAGGAAAGCAGTAGAGAAGTCGAGAGAGTGTAACTCGTAGTCTCTCTGTGCTGCTACGTGTAGTAACACCCGAAGAGTGGTCATCTTCGGGGTGGGCGCGAAGGTTTGAAAGAAGTCAACTCCCTCGCGCTGACTGAAACCTCTAGCCACGTAGCGCGCCTTGAAGACCGGGGGAGATCCCGGTGGCCGCTTCACCCTGTAGATCCACATGCCGTCGACTACGTTCGCCCCAAGGGGGGGAACCTCATCGACGTAGGTGCCTGTGGATCTGTAGGAGGCCATCTCTGCGTCCATGGCGGCTCTCCACTGAGAGGCCCAAGGCCCTGACACTGCCTCAGCGTAAGTGCGAGGAGTCGGAATGTCAAGGGCGTCGGGGTCACCCTCAGGGGCGAGGAGCATGGCACAGAGATGAGGGGAAGCGGCCGCCAGGAACTCTAGCTCGAACTGCCTGTCCTCTAGGGCGTCACAGCCAAGGGCAGACACACCCCCGACGGCCAGAGGACTGGAAGGAGGAGCAGCCACAAGAGCGGTGGCGAAGTCAAGGCGGCGGGTAGAGGCAAACTCAGTGACTGCGGCAGTAAGAGCGGACACAGAGGACACAGAGGCACGAGGGTGGGTAACAAGAGAGGCGAGAACACGAGAGAGAACAGGACGGTACGTGCGGTAGTAGTCAGTGACAGGAGTAGGAAGCGACGCAGTGAGGGCCGACTCAGGAGGAGACGGAAGCACAGACGGAGACGGACGAGGTGGACGAGAACAAAGGAAGGCTGTACGAAGGTCAGTGAAGGGAACAGGAGACGAGGGACGAGCACGAGGGGAGCGACGAGAGGCCCAAGTCTGAGAAGGAGGAGGAGACAACGAAGACTGAGAACGAGGGAAAACAGCGGGAGAGGGGTCAGGAGGAGGAAGCGGAGGACCAGAGACGGGAGGAGAGGGGGAGGAGGAAGGAGAGGGAGAGGGGAGACCAAGGGTCCGAAGACCCGAGACAGGAGGAGGAGCGGACGCCACAGCGGGCGTGACAGCGGGAGGTAACAGGGGACTAAGCAGCGGGGAACGGGAACGGGCGCAGCGGCGGGCGATGGCAGCGCGCTCGGCAGCAGGGGCCAGCAGCGCGCGCAGCGGGCGACGGCAGGGGGCGCAGCGGCGACGCGCGCAGCGGCGGGCGACGACGGCGGGGCCGCGGCGAGGCGCGCAGGGGGCGGGCGTTGGCGGCAGGCGCGGCGGCGACGAGCGCGGTCGCGAGCGACAGTGGCGGGCGCTGCGGGGACGGGCGACGCGACGGGGGGAGAGGGCGGGAGCGACGGGACAGGGGGAGGGCGACGCGACGGGGGGAAAGGGGCGGGTGCGACGGGACAGGGGGAGGGCGACGCGACGGGGGGAAGGGGCGGGCGCGACGGGACAGGGGGAGGGCGACGCGACGGGGGGAAAGGGGGGGCGCGACGGGACGCGACGCGACGGGGGGAAGGAGCGGACGCGACGCGACGGGGGGAGCGCGACGCGACAGGGGGAAAGGGACGGGCGCGACTCGAGGGGGGGGGAAGGCGACGCGACGGGGGGGCGGGCTACGCTACGAACGAGAGCGTGGCTCGTTTCTAGGCTCGGTAATAGCTGGAACGATACGAACGAGAGCGTGGCTCGGCGCTAGGCTCGGTAACAACGAGAAGGAGACGAACGAGAGCTAGGATCAGGCTCGGGTGGTACGAACGGAGAACGGCGGAACGGGATCCCACAGGATCCTAACCTAACTGATACCATGTCAGAATGAAGAATGGATGATGCATTGATGTTGGTTGGGGTACATATAGCTAACCCTAAGTTTTGTACCCCCTAAGACAAACCTCACTATAGGCTACAACATTTGACAGATTCCCTGCTCCTGGACGGGGTTTGTGCGGTCGGGAATCGAAGCGCGGCAGTTTTCGGCGGGATTTCGTGCATTATCTCACGCGCACGTTACACAATTGTGTTCGCCTTACTGCGGGCTTCGATTTGGTACTTTAAAATCACAAAATCATTTTTGCCATGATATAAGCGCCGGCGCTTATGGCCGTGATTCAATTACAAGCGCCACCCCTAATAAAAACCGATTTTACTATAAGCGCAGATGCGCCTATATCCGGGGTAATACGGTAGGTTGCTTCGCAACCCAAAAACCTGGCAAAAAAAGGCTGAAAAACAGTCCCACAAAAAGCTGAACTCTGGAAAATCAGGAATTTCAGGGGAAAATTCCTGATATCGTAGAGACATTTGGACGCGTCTCGGCCAAAAAGAGATGGCGACAATTTCTCAAGGGACATGTCAAGAGCGGAATATACCCTTAGCTACACCTCTACAACACTAAAAATCGGTTAGGAACAGCACTGCAGGTACAAACGCAACACTGCATATCAACAATAATGACGAAGCAATTCTGCCCTAAACTTTCCTGCTTCACTCCATATGGCACCATGGCACAAGCCGTATAAAACTTGTTGGCATCCCAGTGCTCACAGGCGCTCTGGATGCGCAAACGCAGCTGACCTACAAATGAAATTGGCCCACAGCAGAGCAAGTGCCAGTGGAAGCAACAACGCCCGGGTGCATGAAATACCCTCTACAGATGACAGATGCGTGGGGATACAAAGAGGGAACGGGCATGATAAGCCGATGCAGCAGCAGAGGAGCCAAAGCGCTACGACACCGCTGCCACCTTCACATCTGCGCCCACACCTGCCCGCGCCACTCCCCCCTCCAAACCCACATGCTGCAACTCTCCCCCTCCCCCACTCCCCCCCGACGGCCGTCGCCTGTGCGCACTGCTCCCCCCGCTGCCCCCAGCACTGCTGCTGCCGCCTCGCGAGGGCGACACGCCCACCACGCTGCGCTTGGGCCGGGCGGTCCCCCGCGGCGACCCCTCTCGCATGGGCGACCACCGCCGCCGCGGACTGCCCTCCGCCGCCGCCCCGCGCATGCCGCCCGCACTGCTGCCGCTGCCGCTGCCCGGGCGCCTGGGGCTGGCGCGGCGCGGGCTGAACTCCACGGCGAACGTGGACACGGGCCGCCCCCGCGGACTCACCTCCACTGCCGCCCCCCGCCCCCCGCTGCTGCTGCTGCTGCGCACCACTGCTCGGTCCTCCCCTCCCCCCCCTCCTCCACCCCCACCCCCGCGCTCGAGGCTGCTGGCACTGGCGACGGCGTTGAGCGAGTGGCTGTGGCCCTCGCCGCGTGTGGCAGCGAGCGCAGCAGCGACGCCGGGAGGCAGCTCGCCGTGGGCGCCCATGAGCATCCACGTCTTCTGGTCAACCTTGCTCTTGTCCATAGCCGATGCCCCCCCCGCCTTGCGCGTCGACATGCGCATCGGCCCACTGCTGCCCCCCCCCTGCCCCCCGCTGCTGCTTGGCCGCTGCTGCTCCCTCTCCTTGCCCTTGTCCCTGCCCCTATCCCCGTCCCCCCCGCTCCCCATCAAGCCACCCGGAAGTTCGCCGGACATGGACGCCGATGCAAACAGCGCCTCGATCTCCCGCCGATGCCTCTCGTCCATGGAGCTGTTTCGCGATTTACTCTCAGATTTACCTGGCAGATGTGATAACTCCCCTGACCGGGTCTTGTGCAGGTGGGCCTTGGTGCTGCTGCTGTTGAGAGCAGCGCCCTAGAGACACAGCAGAGGGGGGACGCGGAGGGTCAGTGGGCCAGGGCAAGGGGGTGAGGGGCGAACACAGGCCGTGCACGGCAAGCACACACGTGGTCAGGCGGCATGACAGGCGTCATGACAGTCGCGGCACATGCACCCAGCACGACAGGGAAGCAGGGTACACGAGCAAACAGAGCACATGGGACGAGCGCACACGCCTTGTCATGGCGCAGCGGAATATGTTAGGGGCGGATAAGGGGAAGGGGGTGAGGGCAGGGCGCATGAGGAGGTAAGGAATGCGACACATACACGAGAGCCATGCTCGCTGCTGGGCCGGTGTTGCTGCTGCTGCTGCGCGGGTTGCTGCTGCGAGTGCAGGTGCTGCACCATCTGGTTGTGCATGGGGTGGAATCTCAAATCCGACGACCGCGACTCCCGCTTCTCCCGCTCCCGCTCCCTCTCCCGCTCCCGCTTCTCCCTCTCCTCCTTCTCCCGCTCGCGCTCCCTCTCGCGCTCTCGCACTTTGCGCAGAGCAGCGTCTCTCGACTCGGTGAGGTCGCGCGATGACCCCGTTGAAAAGTCCTTGGACGCACCCGTGCCCGCCGCACTGCCACCACCCACACCCACCACGCCAGCAGCAGCCGCCACCCCCGCCGCCGACAGCTCATGGCTCGTGGGGTTCACACCCCCCTTGCTCCTGCCCGCACTGCCCGTCCGCACTAGTCCCCCCTGCTTACTCTCCCCAATCCCCACCTCCCCACTCACGTTCCTCCCCCCCACCCCCGCCCCCGCCCCTGCCCCTCCCCCTGCAGCGCCAGCAGCAGCGCCCACGGACGAGAAGGAGGGCCCCGGCACCCACGACGTGGTGGCGGACAGGCTCTTGCCGCCCGGCGCCGCCCCGCGGAGCTTGTCGGTGGCGTCAGCGGGTTTGAGCGCCTTGAGCCCGTCGGGCGTGTCCACGGCCTTGGCGGCGCTGAGCCCGTGCGGGCCCAGCCCCTGCAGGCCCGCCGCCAAGGCCATCTCCGCTGGGCTGATGAACTTCTCACTCTTGCTCTTCGCTATTGCCGCCTTACCCTGCGCCGCCTTCTGTGAGCAGGTGGGAAGGGGGGTTGAGGGAGAGGCAAGGGAAAGAGGGGAAAGAGGAAAGGGAAAGAAGAAAGGAGGGCGTGAGCATGAAAGGAAACTGTTTGAATGGGGAGAATCGAGTGTGGCAGGTGGTGAGGGAGTGTGGCAGGTGGTGAGGGAGTGTGGCAGGTGGTGAGGGAGTGGGCGTGGAAGAGGTGGGCCATCGCCGCACACGGGCTGCTGTATCCAGCACGTGGCAGCAGCAATGGCACGGCAGTGAACCACGCACCTGGATGTTGATGGACGCACCTGGATGTTGATGGACGCACCTGGATGTTGATGGACGCACCTGGATGTTGATGGACGCACCTGGATGTTGATGGACGCACCTGGATGTTGATGGACTCGACAAGCTCTGCGTTGGCGTGTGGCGCAGGCACGGCCCGGCTGGACCGCTGCTGGCTCTGCTGCTGTAGCTGCGGCTGCTGCTGCGACGTGCTGCTCCGCTGCGCGCCCTGCCCCGCCGCCGCCTGCTTGGTGCTGGCGCTGCTGTCTAGCACCTTGCCTGCCCTCGCCCCTGCCGCCCTCTGCCTGCCACAGACCAGGGACCAGGGAGCAGCAGCGGCGCACAGGGGGGGAATGCAGACAAGGCAGGATGCACGGTGACAGAGGTTGAGGGGTAAAGCACGCAACAGGGTTGTTGCACGGTGAGAGCAAGGGAGTAAGAGGGCGACAGGCAGCACAGCACAAGGGCACAGCAGAGGCATGGCCCGCACAAGGGCGCAGCTTGAGTGAAGAGCATGGGAGGACGCGAGGGCGCAAGGAGGTGCATTGAGGGCCGAACAAGGGCGTGAAGTGGAGAGCACCCACGAGGCGGCGTGGTAGGAGCGGGGAAGGAGGAGGGGAGAGGAAGCGCGGGTGGGAAGAGGAAGGGCGGGGAGGGGCGGGGAGGGATGACCTGCGGGCCTCTTCGTCGCGCAGCTTGGCGTCGTACTCCTTGCTGGGCGGGTACTGCGGTAGACTCGATGGGTCGCATGGCAGCGGCTTGGTCGTGAAGAACTGTTGGCGCCATGGCAGGGGAGCGGGGAGCGGGGCGGAAGGGGGAATGGGATGAGTGATGGAGAACGGCGAGAGCATGAGAGGGAGAAAGGCAGCACGCCAAGGGGAAGGCGGAAGGGTGGAGGGACGGGAAGCGTGTGAGCCGGGGAGGAGAGAGGGGGGGAAGGGGACTCGTGGCAAAGATCTTTTAAGCCTCGAAGTTTCACAGCCCGCCGTCCCCTACGGTCCCTTGTTTCACCTCGTGCGCGGCTTGCTTCACACCTCCCCGTGCCTCACGTCGTGCGCCCCTTGCCTCGTGCGCCCCTTGCCTCGTGCGCCCCTTGCCTCGTGCGCCTCTTCTCACCTCGTGCGCGCCTTGTTTCACACCTCCCCTTGCCTCACCTCGTGCGCGAGCGCGGAGGTGGCGGAGCCGCGGTCGGCGGGTTCGATGGAGAGCAGCACGTCGAGCAGGTTGAGCGCCGTCGAGGGGAAGTCCTTGAACACGTCGCGCAAGGCGCGCTTGTACGGCTGCGTCGGCTTGAAGATGGTGGCGTGCGGCAGCTTGGAGCGCCGCCAGTACTCCTCGCTGGGCGAGCCGCACAGCTTGAATATCTTGTGCAGCTGCTCCACCTGCTCGCGCAAGCCATGGAGGGCAGGGGGGCGAGGGGAAATGGGGGAGGGAGAAGGGGAGTGAAGGGAGGGAGGAGGGGATGTGAAGGGTGGACGGGTGGAAGGGAGGTTGGAGGGGGGAAGGGGTGAATGAGGAGCGAGGGGGGGGGTGGAACGAAACCGAAGACACCTGCGCGCGATTCACCCTAGCGCGGCTCGCCCGGGCGCACTCACGTGCGCGCGGCTCACCTCGGTGCGGCCGGGCATGATGGGTTTGCCGGCGAGCAGCTCGGCGAGGATACACCCGCTGCTCCACAGGTCCACGCCCACGCCGTACGTCGTGGCGCCCAGCAGCAGCTCGGGCGGCCGGTACCACAGCGTGACGACGCGGCTGGTGAGCGGCACGTTCTGCTCGGGGCGGTAGAAGGTGGCGAGCCCGAAGTCGGCGATCTTGAGCGACCCCGTGTTGTCCAGCAGCAGGTTGCTGCCCTTGATGTCGCGGTGCAGCACGCCGTGCGTGTGGCAGTGCTCCAACCCCGCCATCAGCTGCTGCATGTAACACTTCACCTGCAAGCACTCAGCGGGAAAGAGTGGGACACGCGGGGGGGACGAGAGGACGGGACGGCCAGAGTGAGCTGGGAGGAGGGAAGCGGTCGCGCGCAAGCCACGCGGCGGCGAGCACGGAACAGCACGCGGCAAGGCGCATCGACAAAGGCAGCGCGACAACGCGGCAGGGGCAGAGGCGGACCTGCGCCTCGGTGAAGGAGATGCCGGGGCAGGCGGCGAGCCCCGCGAGGTCGTGCTCCATGTACTCGAAGACGAGGTACAGGCTGCAGCTCATGCGCGACGTCACCAGCCCCTCCAGGCGAATCACGTTCGGGTGGTCGAGGCGCCGCAGCACCTCGATCTCGCGCGCCATGAAGCGCACGCTCTCCGGCTCCAGGTTGTCGAACCGCACCTTCTTCAGCGCCACCAGCCGCCCGCTCTCCAGGTCGCGCGCCTTGTACACGTTGCTGTACGTCCCCTGCCCGATCTGCGCGCCGCGCCGGGAAAGGCGGGAGGGAAGAGGAAACAAGGTGGGGGAAAGGAGGGGGGAAGAGAGATGAGTGTGACGGTGGATGATTGGGAGTATGATGCGAGACGAGGTCGGTCGGTGAATCCACGGCACAAGCCGGCGCATCAAGGGCCGTGACGCCCCGCAACGGCGCATGCGGATGCAATGCTCCGATCTGCTTAAAAGGAATAGGTGCCTGGGAGGTGGTAGAATCACGCGGCACTGTGCGACAGCCCGGCCGCGCACGACATGCCCGGGTGCGAGAGCGGAAAGAGAGCCAATCCCTTTCCCTAGCGACCCACGCTTCGCTCCCTTCCGTTGCACTCCCCGCTCTTGCCCTCGTTCTCGACGCACCTCTCGCTTCCCTTCTTTCCGTGAATATACGTCGTGAAACAGCCGCGCGGTCCTTTCATCCACCCTGCACTCTCCTCCCTCGGCATTCCCCTCCCCTCCCACGCTCCTCCCCGCGCACTCCTTTCCCCGCGCACCGCGCAATGTCCTCCCCCCGTACTCCCTCCCCACGCACTCGCAGCACGCAGCTCCCGACCGCACACGACCTGCTCTGAGCGTCCGTTAGCGTCCGCGACTCACCTTGTCGAGTTTCTCGAAGGAGTCGGCGCGGCGCGGCACCCACCCCTTGATGGCCTCGCTGGCGACGGACGCGAGCCACGACGGCCACCCCGCCGCCACCTGCTCCGCCTCCAGGCTCTTGTGCACCTGCCGCGGCACCGACGCCAACGCCGCCGGCACTACCGCATCTCCCGCCCGCTCCCGATCCCGCTCCCGCTCTCGCTCTCGCTCCTTCTCCTTTTCCTTCTCCTTTTCCCGCTCTTTCCGTCTCTCCCGCTCTGCTCCCTCCTCCCCCGCCCCCAGTTGCCCGCTCTGCCGCGAACTGCCCTTCGCAGTGGCCGGAGCTGCGGCTACCGCCGCTGGAACAGCTGCTACTGCTGGCGGAGCCGGTGGTTTGGCGGGAGGCGTGGGATCCTTTATGGAAGGGGGTTCGGGTACCACGGGGACGGCGGCGGGAGGCGGAGTGGCGGCTGGCGGTCTTTGCTGCTGCTGTGGAGGAGGGGGAGGCTTCTCTGCTGCGGGCTTGTGAGGCGGAGACTCGTCGAGCGCACTGGGATGGGAACACGCGCACCCCATGACGAGTCCGCAAGTAACCCAGCCCAGAGTTCGTGGACCTAGGCGCGGAGCGGGTGGCGCACCAGCCCTGGCTACCACCGCTAGCTACTGTTGGAATCGTCGACAAATGATGACCGCAGCTACCGCTGTCCCCGAATTGAGGAAATGAGAGGGACTGTTAACCAAAGAGTTTGAACAAAACTGCCTAGCGTTGTAGGCTACACTTGAAGAAATGTCTTAACGTACTTTATGTATTAACAAGGAAAAGCAGCGCGAGGGCTTACAGGGACCGTGACTACCGCCCAGCATCCAGGGTACTGCGTGTAAGAACATCTGTAACAGTAAGTGCCGCCACTTAAGACGCGAAAGTAACTGGTTTAAATGGTGCGTAATGCGTCCGTCACAGGGGTGACGACCCCTACGTGCCAAGGAGATCGAGGATGAACTATGGACACGAACCTGTTATGCCAGACTCCTAAGTCATTCTGCTTCTAATTTATCATAATGCTATAGCGTAGTGCGAATCGGGACGCCCGTCAATGACGACCTAAATTACAGGCAGCGGAGAAGACGAGGCAGTTGGTGATGGTTATGAGAGTGAGGGTTAGGAGGAGGCGGGTTGGGTTAGTGAGGTGGCAGCAGAAATGATGATGATGGGGTGTTGTTGGGTTGCCGTGGGGGTAAGGTAATTGCTGCTGGGTGGCGGGGCCAGGGAGCAGGCGGAGGCAAGGCAAGAAGGCGGTGGAGTGTGCGGAGGTGAGCGGGGAAGTGTGCCAATGAAAGTTGGGGGAGGGAAGGGAGGCGGGAAATTTTGTTGGGACCAGGAGTGGGGGAGGGCATGGCGGAGGAGCGCATGGTCTGGTGAAAGCGGAAGCGGAGCGCGCAGGTGGCAGGTGGAGACACGTTTGCCCTACTGGCATGCGAACAAGCGAGGGAGTGGGGGGGCACGCGGAAACAAATCCCCTGAAACCAGTTGTTACACAGCTTGCGCCAAAGCCAGGAGCGCATGGAAGAAGTCATTGTACGGGGAGCAAGCGAGCCGCTGGTGTTGGAGAAAGCAGGTATGTGCGTCTGCGAAACCGGAACGACAAGCAGAGCGAAGAACTTGACGACACTTTCCGAGCCTCTCAGGCTCGAGGCGAAGCACGACAACGAACCACGAACAACAAAGCTCGCCGTCCGGCGCGGGGAGAGAAGCAAGCAGGGAATCTGCGGTAACATACAGCTGAATAACCCGTAAAAAGTCAATATACACGAGTCCGCATCCTCTGGGTCCCTTACAATCAGCACATAACGCTGCATCGTGTTGCCTTTGGCTTTTCCATACCTCGGGAAGGTTCGTACACAGCTTGATTGGTAGTGGTAGGCCCTTGACCTCAAAACAGAGCCAATGTAAAATGTTTGAGATGATTAAAACATGCAGATACAAACATATGAGTAATAGTACAGGGGGGATACGAAACGACCTAGCTAGCCATGTACTCTAAGGGGAAGATACATTCCCTTATTCAATTTCGAAACCAACCGTGCGACTCGAACAGTTACGAAACTGTTCCCGCCAATTCCCTTGTCCCTGCAGCTGCCCAATGTCGTCTGCTCCGACGGTCCAGATCCTCCCAACTGTCTGCGCTGCTTCGAGTCAACTCTGACTCTTCGCGTCCGTGCTTCGATACTGTGTGCTTCGCTTTGCTGCGGTTAGGAGTGCACAATCATATTTCACTATTCGTAACACCCCCCTTCACTCCTGGCCGTAGCTCGACTTGACCTGCTTGACTACTCCGCTGAGTTCGGAGCAGTGCTGGTACTGCTGCCGGCGTGGCAGTCGCTTTGTCAGGAAGTCAGCTGCCATGTCACCTGTCGGGCAGTAGGTCAAGTCCACCTTGCCCTTGTCCATTTCGTCCTTGACGAAGAAATACCGCAGCGCAATGTGTTTGGTGCGGTTGACGAATCCAGGCTTGTTCGCGATGCGGATTGCGCTCTGGTTGTCGCAGTGCAGGCGAATAGTAGGTGAAGCTGGAATTTTCGCCTCTTGTAGGAGTTCCTGCAGATAGAGGCCCTCGCGAACTGCTGCTGTTGCGGCGATGAACTCAGCTTCAGCCAATGACAGGGGAACCAGCTCCTGTTTCTGCGAGTTCTATGAAATTGGTCCTGTCGGCTCGAGGCAAAACAAGAACCCAGTCCTGGACCGTCAATTGTCAGGGTCTGCTGCTGATCAGCGTCCACGTAGCCGGTGAGATTGAAGGTTGGGGTTGGCACTGTTGAGTAACAGAGCCCAATCTTAGGCGTCGAAACGAAGAACTATAGAGCGTGCTGCAGATCCAGAAGGTTCTCAGCCGTTGGTTTGCGAGAGTACTGAGCCAGTTGGCTCGCGATGTAGGAAAGGTCGGGCCTGCAGGTAACAGAGGCGAAAAGCAAGTCTGGATTCCAGTAGGGGATAAGGCCTTGTTGTCAGGTTTGTGGTTCGGTCCGGGAGTGCGGTAAGGAGTGGAGAGCGGCGCAGGTGAAATGTTGAAGCGCTTTCCAAGCTCCTCTGCGTACTTAGCCGCTGAGAGGTGAATAGCCTCTGGCGCGTAGGAGATGTTGAGTCATAAAAACTGCTTCACTTTGTAGTTGCAGGTAATGTCAACGCGCCCCGCCAGATTCTTCTCGAATTGCTCGAGCAGTTCGTTGCTTGACCCCGTATAGAGCAAGTTGTCGACATAGACGGTGAGCAGGATGTAATCTCCGCAGGAATCGCGGCGGTGCATCCCGAGGTCGTGAGGCATCTGCTTGAAGCCTATTTCAAGCAGAATGTTGTGCAGGTACTGCTGCCAGAGCCTTGGCGCCTGCTTGATCCCATAAAGGGGTTTACACAACTGACATACTCGCGAGTCTCCTTCTCTGTATGTGTGCGGCTGTTCCACGTAGATGACTACATCTACTAACGCGTACAGGAACACGTTCTTCACGTCGATTTGGCGTAGTGGTAGGTGCCTTGCAGCGGCGATGGCGAGCAGGATTCTAACGAAGGTGTGACGGCTAACTGGCGCAAACGTTTGATCGAAATCGATCACGTGCCTCTGGTCGTAGCCTCACACCACCCAGCGTGCCTTGAACCATTCAATCGTGCAATCTGCTTTGGTCTTCACACGGAAGACCCACTTTCCGGAAAGAACCCTTGCTCCCTTGATTGTAGTGCGATCGACAAGCACCCAGGTGTCTCGGGATTCGAGCGCCTTAATTTCCGCATCCATCGCCTCGCGCCATTCCTTGCTGTGTGGCCCAGTGAGAGCTTGGCACGGATTTTTCGGTTCGATGACACGTGGCCCCGTTGAGGTCGCGGTGTGGAGCCCGAGAAGCTGCACCCCGGAGATGGTGCTGTCGTGGCGATGCTGCGGGACAACCTCCTGCACGTCGTCGTCGTCACTCTCTGGTTCAGGTGGTGCTGGTGGCGCTGCGCCTCTGCCGCTACCCATTCCTCCCCCAGAGGAATCATCGCCGTCATCGTCGCTGCTGTGGCGATCCCCTATTGTGAACTTGCCTCGTGTGTCCTGCTCAAGGATTGCTGCGGCAGCTTCTTCCTCAGGTGTTGCATAGCTGTGCCTATCATTCGTGTAAACACGATTCGCGTTCGCTCGCTCGTCGTGGCGGAATTGCTTGAGGAAGCGGCGTTCATAGAAAATGACGTCACGTGCGTGGGTGGTCTTCTGGCTGAGTAAGTCCAAGATGATCCACGCCTTATGCTCGTGACTGATGCCGAGGTGGATTCTCCAGCGCGCGCAGCTTGTGAACTTTCCGATAGTTGACGTCGGCGGGCGATATTACACCATGCACCCCCACACACGGAGCATGGATGTGTCCCCTTTAGTCCCCGTAAACTTCAGATGTAGGGACAAGTTGCCGGTGATGGCGGTTGTTGACAGCAGGTTGTGCACCCGCACGGCGTGGTGCATCGCGTAGGTCCAGTAGATCGGCGGGAGCTTGGACTGCTTCATCAGCGCCCGCACCTTCGTCATGAGCGTGCGATTCGTCCGCTCGGCTACGCCTTGCTGCTGATGTGCGTAAGGAAGGGAGACATGATGTTCGATCCCCTTTTGTGCCAGGTAGTCCCGTAGTTCTTTGCTTCTGAATTCCGCTGCGCCGTCCGATTGCTAGATTTTTAGCTTTTCCCCAGATTGCCGCTGCGCATGTGCCAGCCAGAGGCGGACGAAACGCCTCGTACGCTCTGCTGCGCGCTTCTAGGTTCACGACCCACACGTAGCGCGTCCCATCATCGATGAAGGTGAGCGTATTCAGCTCGTCATCCACTCCGCAATGCCACACGTTGAGGAAGTCGCTGTACACTATGTACAGCTTGGGGTAGCGGTTGGTTCCCGGTTCGAGCAGCGGGAACGGCTGGTGACTTAGTGCAGCTTCAGAGCAAACAGTGCAGTTGCGTGGGTGTGTCGCGCTTCTTACTTTGGTGGTGTCAGGGCGTAGGAGTGCACCAGGAGCGAAGACGCCAGCTTCGATGCAGTTTTTCAGTGTCGCGCGTGAAGGATGTCCGAGGCGCTGCATGCAATGACGGCTGCTGCTGCTGATGCTGAACCGCTGGGTTCAGGTTGCGCGATGGGGGTTGATACCCCTGGGCTGGACGCGTGTCGAATCGTGCGTCTTGTTGGCTGGACCAGTTGCTCGGATTGGTCTGGCGAGGGCTTGCATCGATCTGCTAGGTGCCCGAAGTTTCTGCAAATCTTGAAGTAAAGGCGCCGTGGCTGTCGCTCTTCAGTGTTGTAGGCGTAGAAGGCGAGGCGTTTCCGGTCTCGTCGCGGCGCTGGTCGCTGCTGATCCATATCCCTCTGTTCGACGAGAAGGGCGGCGCAAACGGTGGCCTCCGAGATGACCCCCTACTGTCGGAGAAGCGCCTTGCAGAGCCGCCACTCTGGGCCGAGCCCTTGAAGCACAATATTCACGAAGATTTCTTCAGAGATGCTGCTTCCCAACTTCGCGATTTGATCGCGGAGGCTCTGACTGCAATTGATGTAGCTATTGGCCTCTCCCCTGGGGCCATTTCGTCCCCAGTAGCTGCTGGAGTAGGCGGCTTGAAGAGACCGAATCTTTCGATTGGTATCCACCGTTCAGGTGGCGCCAAGCATCGAGGGCTGGAGCAGGGGATTCTTTATACGATCGAATGCTTAGCTGCTCCGCCGGCGACATGTTCCACAGAAGAACGCCTTACGCCATCAGGGACTCGTTGTAGTATCTCGCCCTGGCGTCAGTGGTGTCTTCAACGGGTCCCCTGTAGCTCCTGTCAAAATAATGAAAGATCTGCGCGTTCTGCAGCAGAAGCT